CACACACACACACAGATAGACAGACACACGCATGTATACACACACAGACACATACACACAAACACACATGCACACAGAGATAGACACACAGATAGACAGACACATGCACACACACACACACACACACACACACACACACACACACACACACACACGTCTGATCTCAGGTGTTCAATTACAAACAGCTGCAGTGAATAAAACAGACATACACACAAACACACACACACACACACACGCGCACACACACACACACACACACACACACACACACACACACACACACACACACACACACACACACACACAGATAGACAGACACACGCACGTATACACACACAGACACACACACATACACACAGACACATACACACAAACACACATGCACACAGAGATAGACACAGAGATAGACAGACACATGCACACACACACACACACACACACACACACACACACACACACACACACACACACACACACACACACACACACACACACACACACACACACGTCTGATCTCAGGTGTTCAATTACAAACAGCTGCAGTGAATAAAACAGACATACACACAAACACACACGCACACACACACGCGCACACACACACACACACAGATAGACAGACACACGCTCACGCTCATGCTCTCACACACTCTCTCTCTCTCTCACACACACACACACACACACACACACACAACACACACACACACACACACACACACACACACACACACACACACACACACACACACACACACACACACACACACACACACACACACACACACACACACACACACACACACACATTTTGAGTTAAGAAAAACTTAAAAAAGTCTGTGTGCACAGGAGCTGACAGGAAGTGACCAGAGGGAGAGCACAGGTGCTCAGGTGTTCAAACACTATGAGGTATTAAACGCACTTCAATCATTAGATTCCAGGAACTCTGGTGAAGACAATCTAGATGCTTTTTTTTTTTAATTAGCTGCTCTGATCATCACGGATCATTTGATGAATATATTCAATCTTTTGATTGCAACAGGTACAATTCCTAATGTATGGAAATTAGCAAATGTGGTTCCCTTGCATAACGGTGGTGCTAGGGATGATTTAAACAATTATCATCCCATCTCCAAATTACCCTGTCTGGCAAAAGTCATGGAAGCCTTGGTAAATCACCAACTCAACCCCTTTCTTTTAAATCACTCAGTACTGAGCCCGCAGCAATCTGGTTTCAGAGCCAATCATGATATAAAACTAGCACTACACAAGAAGCTGCTCTTTTTATAGATCTGTCAAAAGCTTTTGATACGGTCGATCATCACCTTCTTAGATGCTATTGGGATGGATGGAAGTGCATGTGCCTGGTTTCAGAATTATTTGTTTCACAGACGTCAGTGTGTTAAGCTAGGTCATGCTAAATCAGAATTTTTGTTCATTAATAGAGGTGTGCCACAAGGTTCAGTCCTGGGTCCCATGCTCTTCACTGTTTATGTTAATGACATTGTCTCCTCTTTGAATGATTGTCATGCCCATCTCTACGCAGACGACACTATTTTGTATTGTACTGCAGATTCTGTACAGTTAGCTATCAAGAACTTGCAACTTGCTTTTAATTCTGTCCAAGAATATCTCATTAGCCAAAAACTGCTACTTAATGAGATTAAAACAAAATGTATGCTATTCTCGAGAGCCAAAAATATTGATTATGAGAGTATACGCATATCTTCTTTAAATGGCTCAGACATGGAGAGAGTAATTGAGTATAATTATCTCGGCATGTGGCTCGATGAAGAACTTTTAAGTTCCATGTAAAAACTCGTCTCTAAGTTGTGACAGAAAGTAGATCTTTGTATCACTCCACCATCAGGTTTATTACTGATCTATATAACCCTGATCTATATATCACTCCACCCTCAGGTTAATAACTGATCTATATATTACTGATCTATATAGCACTGATCTATATATCACTCCACCATCAGGTTAATAACTGATCTATATATCACTGATCTATATATCACTCCCTGGTCCTCGCTCCTCGTCTCCTCGCTCCCCGCTCCTCGTCTCTTCGCTCCCCGCTCCTCGTCTCCTCGTCCCTCGTCTACTCATCTCCTCGCTCCCTGCTCCTCGTCTCCTCATTCCTCGCTCCCCGCTCCTCCCCCGTCTCCTCGCTCCTCGCTCCTCGCCTCCTCGCCTCCTCGCTCCCCGTCTCCTTGCTCCTCAGCCGAACCGGAAGTAGTTTTAGACCCGCCATGATAAGGATCGTCCCAAAGCTCTTATAACTGAACGGAGGAGAGAGGATCGAGGATACACGAGAGCTGACTTTGCCGAAGTCTTGGAGGAGGCAAGTGGAGGACACTTGGATGCAATTAAGGGAACTGGGATGTACCTTCAGAGTAAACCCTGACGTGACCTCTAACCCCAAATCCTGCTTCATAGTCCCGCCCCCTGGTGTGGAGAAATACTTCCACTTTCTTTCAAAATAAACAACACAGATGACAAATGATGGATTTGTAATTGATATTTTATTTTCTAAAAATAGAAAAAACAAAGAACAAACATTCTGTAAATAACAATCCGTAAAAAGGATCAGACGTGATATAAAACGTTTAAACATCAACAAATGGAAATGTTTCATCCCTGATTTTATTTGTTCACTAAGCTGCCAACTGCTGGTGTCTGAGCGTGCTCAGAAGCTGGTTTCTTTATGATCACTGGGTTTGATATCCTCTATGATGCCGTCCTTATTTCCTGTCATGGTGTCCTTGTGTCTGCAGCTGCGGCGGGCAGAAGAGCGGCCCACGGGTCCTGCAGCATCGCTGGACTGAAATATTTCTCCACCGGAGTGTCGGAACATCTGGACTGAAAGACAACAGAACAACTTTAGTTCCAACATGCAGTTTGTAATGAGTATCGATGCAACATAAACATATAGAATAGATCTATAAATAGAAAAATAACGTGATCTAAAGTGATGTTTACTATGATCCTGAAAGACTAAGCACTGTTTACACTATTAGCACTGTTTACACTTTTAGCACTGTTTACACGATTAGCACTGTTTACACTATAAGCACTGTTTACACGATTAGCACTGTTTAAACTATAAACACTGTTTACACTATAAGCACTGTTTACACGATTAGCACTGTTTACACGATTAGCACTGTTTAAACTATAAACACTGTTTACACTATAAGCACTGTTTACACGATAAGCCCTTTTACACTAATAGCACTGTTTACACTTTTAGCACTGTTGACACTATAAGCACTGTTGACACTATAAGCACTGTTTAAACTATAAACACTGTTTACACTATAAGCACTGTTTACACGATAAGCCCTTTTTACACTAATAGCACTGTTTACACTATAAGCACTGTTTAAACTATAAGCACTGTTTACACGATAAGCCCTTTTTACACTAATAGCATTGTTTACACTTTTAGCACTGTTTACACTATAAGCACTGTTTACACGATTAGCACTGTTTAAACTATAAACACTGTTTACACTATAAGCAATGTTTACACGATTAGCACTGTTTACACGATTAGCACTGTTTAAACTATAAACACTGTTTACACTAAAAGCACTGTTTACACGATAAGCCCTTTTTGCACTAATAGCACTGTTGACACTATAAGCACTGTTGACACTATAAGCACTGTTTACACTATAAGCACTGTTTAAACTATAAACACTGTTTAAACTATAAACACTGTTTACACGATAAGCCCTTTTTACACTAATAGCATTGTTTACAGTTTTAGCACTGTTTACACTATAAGCACTGTTTACACTACAAGCACTGTTTAAACTATAAGCATGTTTACACGATTAGCACTGTTTACACGATTAGCACTGTTTAACTATAACACTGTTTACACTAAAAGCACTGTTTACACGATAGCCCTTTTTGCCACTATACACTGTTTACACTATAAGCACTGTTGACACTATAAGCACTGTTTAAACTATAAACACTGTTTAAACTATAAGCACTGTTTACACGATAAGCCCTTTTTACACTAATAGCATTGTTTACAGTTTAGCACTGTTTACACTATAAGCACTGTTTACACTAAGCACTGTTTAAACTATAAGCACTGTTTACACGATAAGCCCTTTTTACACTAATAGCACTGTTTACACTTTTAGCACTGTTCACACTATAAGCACTGTTTACACGATTAGCACTGTTTAAACTATGAGCACTGTTTACACGATAAGCCCTTTTTACACTAATAGCACTGTTTACACTATTTAGCACTGTTACACTATAAGCACTGTTTACACTACAAGCACTGTTTACACGATAAGCCCTTTTACACTAATAGCACTGTTTACACTTTTAGCACTGTTTACACTATAAGCACTGTTTACACTATAAGCACTGTTTACACGATAAGCACTGTTTACACGATAAGCACTGTTTACACTATAAGCACTGTTTAACTATAAGCACTGTTTACACTACAAGCATGTTTACACTATAAGCACTGTTTACACTATAAGCACTGTTTACACGATTAGCACTGTTTAAACTATAAACACTGTTTACACTATAAGCACTGTTTACACGATTAGCACTGTTTAAACTATAAACACTGTTTACACTACAAGCACTGTTTACACTACAAGCACTGTTTACACTACAAGCACTGTTTACACTACAAGCACTGTTTACACGATAAGCACTGTTTGACACTATAAGCACTGTTTAACTATAAGCACTGTTTACACTACAAGCATGTTTACACTATAAGCACTGTTTACACTATAAGCACTGTTTAAACTATAAACACTGTTTACACTATAAGCACTGTTAACACGATTAGCACTGTTTAAACTATAAACACTGTTTACACTATAAGCACTGTTTAAACTATAAACACTGTTTACACTATAAGCACTGTTTACACTATAACACTGTTTAAACTATAACACTGTTTACACTATAAGCACTGTTTACACGATTAGCACTGTTTAAACTATAAACACTGTTTACACTATAAGCACTGTTTACACGATTAGCACTGTTTAAACAATAAACACTGTTTACACTACAAGCACTGTTTACACTACAAGCACTGTTTAAACTACAAGCACTGTTTACACGATAAGCACTGTACACTATAAGCACTGTTTACACTATAAGCACTGTTTACACTACAAGCACTGTTTACACTATAAGCACTGTTTACACTATAAGCACTGTTTAAACTATAAGCACTGTTTACACTATAAGCACTGTTTAAACTATAAACACTGTTTACACTATAAGCACTGTTTACACTATAAGCACTGTTTACACGATTAGCACTGTTTAAACTATAAACACTGTTTACACTATAAGCACTGTTTACAATATAGCCACTGTTTAAACTATAAACACTGTTTACACTATAAGCACTGTTTAAACTATAAACACTGTTTACACGATTAGCACTGTTTAAACTATAAACACTGTTTACACTATAAGCACTGTTTACACTACAAGCACTGTTTACACTATAAGCACTGTTTACACGATTAGCACTGTTTACACTATAAACACTGTTTATACGATTAGCACTGTTTAAACTATAAACACTGTTTACACTATAAGCACTGTTTACACGATTAGCACTGTTTAAACTATAAACACTGTTTACACGATTAGCACTGTTTAAACTATAAACACTGTTTACACTATAAGCACTGTTTACACGATTAGCACTGTTTAACTATAAACACTGTTTACACTATAAGCACTGTTTAAACTATAAACACTGTTTTACACGATTAGCACTGTTTAAAACTCTAAACACTGTTTACACTATAAGCACTGTTTACACTATAAGCACTGTTTACACGATTAGCACTGTTTAAACTATAAACACTGTTACACTATAAGCACTGTTTACACTACAAGCACTGTTTACACGATAAGCCCTTTTTACACTAATAGCACTGTTTACACTTTTAGCACTGTTTACACTATAAGCACTGTTTACACGATAAGCACTGTTTACACGATTAGCACTGTTTACACTATAAGCACTATTTACACGATTAGCACTGTTTAAACTATAAGCACTGTTTACACGATAAGCACTGTTTACACTTTTAGCACTGTTTACACTATAAGCACTGTTTACACTAAGCACTGTTTACACGATAGCACTGTTTACACGATTAGCACTGTTTACACTATAAGCACTGTTTACACGATTAGCACTGTTTAAACTATAAACACTGTTTACACTATAAGCACTGTTTACACGATTAGCCCTGTTTAAACTATAAACACTGTTTACACTATAAGCACTGTTTAAACTATAAACACTGTTTACACTATAAGCACTGTTTAAACTATAAACACTGTTTACACGATTAGCACTGTTTAAACTATAAACACTGTTTACACTATAAGCACTGTTTACACGATTAGCACTGTTTAAACTATAAACACTGTTTACACTATAAGCACTGTTTACACGATTAGCACTGTTTAAACTATAAACACTGTTTACACTATAAGCACTGTTTACACTACAAGCACTGTTTACACTACAAGCACTGTTTACACGATAAGCACTGTTTAACACTATAAACACTGTTTACACTATAAGCACTGTTTAACACGATTAGCACTGTTTAAACTATAAACACTGTTTACACTATAAGCACTGTTTAAACTATAAACACTGTTTACACTATAAGCACTGTTTACACGATTAGCACTGTTTAAACTATAAACACTGTTTACACTATAAGCACTGTTTACACGAATAGCACTGTTTACACGATTAGCACTGTTTACACTAATAGCACTGTTTACACTTTTAGCACTGTTACACTATAAGCACTGTTTACACTACAAGCACTGTTTACACGATGAGCCCTTTTTACACTAATAGCACTGTTTACACTTTAGCACTGTTTACACTATAAGCACTGTTTACACGATAAGCACTGTTTACACGATTAGCACTGTTTACACTATAAGCACTATTTACACGATTAGCACTGTTTAAACTATAAG